AGAAAAAATGGCCTAGAGACGAGAACGAACTGGCAAGTGACTGAGGAGTGAAACTGGGTAATATAGTGAGCAACCTAATCAAGTGCAGCTGGTGATAAGGGAGTGAGGAACAGGTGAATGTGATTAGTGTTAATGGGCCAGAGACAGTAGGAAAGGTGAGGGAGGCCAGAGCGGCCGAGCAAACCTGACAAGACCATATGGAACAATGACTATGACAATTATTATTAAAGGTGAAACAACAGTGGTTTATCAGTTACTATTTGATAATAAATTGTTTGTCATTCTTCAGTAAAACATGTCAAACACTGCCAATTTCCAGCTTCCCATTTGCTGCTTTTCTTTGTCTTATATGTTCTCCCTGTGCCTGCGTGGGGTCCGGCTTCCTCCCACATTCCAAAGAGACGCAGCTTAGGTTGACTGGCGTCTCTGAATAGCTCATAGGAGTGAGTATGGTGTGCGTGGTTGTCTGTCTCTAATAGACTGATGACCTGTCCAGGGTGTACCAGGGTGAATTTTACAACTGACACAGATTTTTTTGGATGAAGTGTGAGTAGGTATTTGTAGCATGACACACCAGCATGACGAGTTTACTGAGTAGAGATAGGAAAAAACCTGTCTATACACCTCTTCGTGCCTTTCCTACCTCTCCCCTACACCACCCTTTCTCTGTCTTGACTTTCTTCTCTCTTTCTTCCTCCCATTGTATTTTCTGTAACCTGTTGTTTCTTTGTTCTTACCTTTATGTACAATTTTCTCACAAACCAGATTGAATTTCAGGTACACATTGGTACTAACACAAATGGGATATTTAATTGCGGTAAAGGTGTGTTAATATGAAAGGTATACTCGTTAAACTTAATGTGCACGCTTTGATGCAGCAACAATAGCTGCTCTGTGTAAGAGGTTATTGATAATCTGTCTTCTGCTGTATCCTGAAACAAAGAGCTCTTTCTCTCACCACCCCAAGAAATATTCAGCTGAATTATGAGTATTATCATGGATGAGGAGTGGTGTATTATCTACAATACGTTTAACTTCAATAGCAATGTGGCAATATATTTAATTGCTTTGTGTATCAGCATGGTATTCTATTTGTTCTGAGATTACTAGAAAACAGGTCATAGACACATCCAGGTGAGCTAATTTCTGTCTTCTCTTTTCTTTTTTTTTTACCTTTCTGCACAGATTCAGATTCTTCCTCCCATACCTTTCCTCAAGTCTGGGTCCTGACCTTTGACGACACCTCTCTCTCCAACCATGGCACACCGGTCTCAGAGTTCATCGTTTGATGATAACCCTCTTGACCCAAACTACCTGCCACAACACTACAAAGAGGAGTACCGCCTAGCTATTGATGCTCTGATAGAAAAAGACATACAGGTAACATTGCATTTTATGGCTTTTGTGGATTAATAGTTTAAAAAGACTTACACAGTGGTTTTTATGATGTAATAAACTTGGACGTGTTTCCTGTCACACTAGGGCTACTATGAGTTCCTCCAGACTGCAGATACGGTCAGCTTCCTGGCACAGCCAGAAATTGAACACATCAAGTCCACAATCCAGGCACCCAGTCAGGCCTCAAGCCTCCCAGAGCTGACGTATCATGAAAGTGTTCAAGAGGCTGATGGCTCCTCCGACACATACTGGCCGATCCAGTCTGACCTGGCTGCCCCGGGGTTGGACATGGGCTGGCCGCTGCCACAGCATAGCTTCGTCGGGCCCACAGAAGTCACCACTCTGGTCAACCCTTCAGACCCAGACATGCCGACCATCAAGCAGCAGGCCAGGAGACTCATCAAGAATGCACGCCAAGTAAGTAAATGTGGGGGGACAAGGAAAAAGGCAGTGTGAATTTGTTAAATGTGCATATCAACTGGTATGTCTGAGAAAAATGCCACCTGAAGATGAGATCAAAACATTCCCCATTCATAAATGCACATGTTATGTGGTGGGTTATGCTATGATTTGTCTCTGTTCCTCTGCGTGTGTGCTTAGTGATCACGTCTGTCTCGTTTTCTTGTGGCAAAACTTAGGAGTGTGTCTCTCTCGAGTGTCTCAACATGCACATAGAGGACAGACAGGTTCTAACAGGAGTAATTAATCTTTCTGTAGCTGTTATGTAAAGAGAGATCCACCTGCATCGTGTTGCTAAATAAACTAGGTGTAGTTAAATGTGCATTTGGTTATTGTTTAATATCCATGTATTCCCTGTTAGAGCTGAAATAGTCTTTCTATTAATCGTTTGCAGTGTGCACTATATCTGCAGTATTTTAATTCAGTATTTCATTTTTTCATAATATCTAATAATGCAGTGTAAATAATATTTGTACAATTTTTAGGAGCACAATATCATAAAGTCAAAATTATTTAAAACTGTGTACATTTTAAAACACCTATTAAATTAACCAACACAAACTAGGCTACAAAATAATTTCATGTCTATTATACTGAGCAAACCTTAATTACGGTACCTTTCTTGCTCACCCTTGCTCCAGGTTATTGCTGTGGTGATGGACATGTTCACGGATATTGACATTTTTGCTGACCTCCTGGAGGCGGCAGCACGCCATGTTCCTGTTTACATTCTACTGGATGAGCTGGAAGCCCATCACTTTATTTCTATGGTCATCAACTGCAAAGTCAACTTGGACTTAATTCCCGTGAGTTTGCCTTTCATTACATTTCCTCAAAGGATTGGGGTGACACTTGCCTAATCTGTGACATCTCTTTTTTATGTGTTATAACATTGTTGAAATTTTTGTTTTACAGATGATGCGTGTCAGAACTGTGGCTGGAATAACCTATTACTCCCGGACGGGAAAATCATTTAAGGGACAAGTGAAAGATCGTTTCTTACTGGTTGACTGCAAGGCTGTACTCAGTGGGAACTACAGGTGAGTCGTTTAGCTATGTTAATTATGGGTTTCTTTAACTGACAAGCTTTCAGTGCCATTCAATCTGCAAATAAAACTACTTTAATTGCCTCCACTGTTCTCATATATTTCCTTATAGTTTTATGTGGTCCTATGAGAAGATCCATCGCTGCGTTGCCCACCTCTTCCTCGGGGAACTGGTTGCCACATTTGATGAGGAGTTTCGCATTCTCTTTGCTCAGTCAGAACCTCTAGTCATTGACCCAGATGGAGCTGTTGCTATGTCTGACACCAGCAGTTACTTGAGCACCCAGTTTGGTTTGAAGAGGTCCCAGTCTTTGCGTAACCCCATAGGTTACCGCAGGCAGCCTGAGCTTCCCTCTGCGTTCCCCTATGGAGATGCGGGACTTTCTTTCCGGAGGAATGACCCATATCGTCATACCATTGAACCTGGGGCAGGAATTACGATTGGAAAGTATCCCCAGCAACAGTTTCGTCTGCAGCAGTCCATAGTGTCCAGGCAGATGGAGCTCAGCAACAATGCCTTCAAGAGGCACAGCTATGCAGAGGGAACCCAGGAAAACTACGCATCTTCAAGGCAATACATGAAGAACAGAGTCCTGAATAATCTGGACGAGACAGACTTCTACAGGTAGTTTATCCTTTAATATATACAATTGAATGGAATCTGAATTATCCAAACTTATCACATGTATCACCATCTTATGAGTACATCTTTACACATAACTATGAATTTATAATGAACCAATCTTTCTTTACAGAGAGCAGAAACAAAGCAGCCATTACTACAGTGAAGGGCCTGGGCCAGGCTCTGGCCATGGACACTCTGACAGAGTTCGAGTTCATTCTTCATACCTCTCTACTGACCAGTATTCAGACTCAAGCTTTCGTGCAGAGCTGGAGCCTCCTCCTGTGAACTATGGAGGAGAGTACTTTACATCCGATGACTTGAGAGGACTTGAGGGGCAACAGGCACCTCCGTTAGCTGGGAGATATGGAGGAGGTTCCTCCCATAAGAGGCCAACCATAGGTCAAGCATATGCCTGTCAGACCTCACCGACGCAACCCCATCCACCAGAGAAGAAAACATTATTTAAACAAGCTGATCAAGAATATGATCAAGATGCAAGTGTTAGACACGGCCTGAGGAACTGGAGAATCCACTCCTATCTTAGTACTTACGAGGATAGTGGAGAAGAAGGTCTGATTCAACCTATTGGGCCTGATGCATTTGAAGATCCACCATCTCAGCAGCCTACTGATGCTGAAATTTCAGCTCCTGCCTTTGTAATAAAGGATGCACCACATGTTCTCCAAAAACCCAGACCTGATATCTTGCAACCACGATTTGGAAAGCCAAGATTACCTGAGAGCAGCAATGTAGACTCTGCCCCAACAACAACCAAGGACCTGCTTTCCTCAGTCAGCGACATGAAAGGATTTGCATTGGATAAAAAAGAAAGGGAGTCAGAGAAGGAAAGGAACAGAGAGAAAGAGAGGGGCACAGTAAGAGAGATGGTTATGGATATGGAGATGAAAGAGGGTCCAGAGCTCTACCTGTCCAAACACGAATCATTCCGCACACGTATTAACCCTCTCCTTCAACGTAGCTCTCGTCTGCGTTCCTCACTTATATTCTCATCATCCAAGGGAGAGATACACAGTGGTAGCCTGGGCCTAAAAGCAGCCACAGAAGAAGATGAGGCATTAGACACTGTACGCACTTCCTCAATTGTGGCCCAGATTCTAGAAAAGAGAAGGTCGTTGTCTCGTGATCCTTATGAATGGAGAAAGAGGGTTGAGGAAAAAGATAAAGAAACGGACACAGAAAAAGATGAAAGAGAGAAGGAGACAGTGCAACAACAAGAGGAACAGAAGATACAAATGAAAGATGAGATTCAAGCAAAAGAGGAACCTATGAAAATTAATGAAGAGGTAAAGACAAAACCAACTGCTGAAAAATCTGAGGTCACCACGTCATCAGTGCTGAACATAAATGACTCAGCCAGTCAACCCAGTCGACCTCCAGTCAACACTACAATGCCAAAGATTGCACATGTCTCTGGAAGTTTAGCAGAACCTGAACCAAAGAAGACAGACATCTCTGCAAAACTTGCAGAGCTCAATCGCAGACCGTCAACTAGTTCCTCAAAACCACCATTAATCACTGCCAAGCCTTTTGTAAGTTATCACAAGCCTTCAGACACATCTCAATTTCAGAAAGAGGCGAATGCCTCAGAGGGTCAAAAAAAGGATATATTCAAGTCAATAAAGCCTCTTCCATCACCTAAGCTTTTCAGGAGGGATCAGTTGAAACTCAAAGGACTGAATCCTCGTCACAACTCCTGTGGTGAGGAGAATCAAACCACAGATGCTACAGATGCAGAAAAGACTGAAATGAAAAAGAGCCGCTCTCATAGTTCTTCAACCCTGCCTCATGATTTCTCTAAAGAAGGACTCCAGAAGGTTATGGGATCTAATACATCCATAAACACACTCAGTGAGGGAAAGGGTGAGGGAAAGGGTGAGGGTAAGCCACTTGACTTCTTAAAGAAGCAGACTCAGAGGCTCAAGGGATTCCTGGGGCCCAAGGACAAAGAAAAGAAGTTTTCAGGTGATGATAAGGGTATGAGCACAGTTGTAGAGATCACTGAAGATTCAATCAAAAAACAGAGTTCATCAGCACACGATACAGGATCTACCAATACTGACCAAACTACGGTCAATCACAAGACGTCAACTGGGACATCAGGCCCGTCCCGATACCAGGCCCCAAGTAGTTCTGTTCTGTTCAGCAGCAATCTACGAGATGACACTAAAGTAATTCTGGAGCAGATCTCAGCCAACAGCCAGAAAAACCGACTGGAGCGGGAAGAAACAGGAGGAGACAGAGATAGCGGTGGCGGGGAGAAGGGACTGGAGAGACAGAATTCCATAAAAAAGAATCGATTTCTGCGACCACTGGGCAACAGCCAGGAGCGGGAGGGATTGCTGAAGAGGATAGAAAGCCTGAGGAAGGAGAAAAAAGTCTACAGCCGCTTTGAGGTACTTAGTCACTGCAAGGATGATGCTTGCAGCATGGATGGGAAAGAAATATGACAAAAGCAGTATTAAATGCAATAACAAGTAGATCATGTATTAGTTGAATCACATTTAAAATCTGTTACAAAAGAGCCAGATGTTCAAAATACAAAGACAAAATTCTGCATTGTCATCCATATACAACTGTGTGTGCAGTATATGATACAATTCTAATAGTAAAATGTGGAGAACAATCTCTGCAAGTTACTTAGCCATAAAAATTATCCTTTAAAAAAACTGAATTAAGGATTTCACTGAGTTTGACAAGTATGGAAATAAATCTTTGAAATGTACATAAATGTGTTTTGGCAAGGTTTTGATACTTTTATATACAGGATATGGCCAACATAATTACATAAATAATTTTGTTTATATAATTGAAAGAAATTTTTAGTCCCAAATAACGGCAGATAAATGTTCAACATAATGTCAAGTGGTATCGTGATTTTAAGAGATTCTGCTGGACTAGTTCATGTCCACCACGTCACTATATCATTGTTTTAAAAAATTTTAAATAGAAGTTAATATGTTTTTATCTTTGCTTGTATATTGAGCTAAGCAAAATACTTTGCTTAGGCCTGTTCCCTAAAGCCTCAAAATAATGACAGTAACAACAAGGAGGAGAATGGGAGGGTGGAAAGGACAAAAGTTCAGATTTTGTTGCATTCACTATTATCCCTGTTGTTTTGTTAACAGATGGGGAATAGCCTGGGATAAAGAAAGACGGAGGAGTGACCTTTTATATGGAAGCTATTTATGCAAGATGATCAAAAACACCCACTGCCCATATGTGCCAACAACACTATCAAAGTACCTCTGTGGCTCAACACTGCGGCTTTTCCTGGATTTACACACAACATAACAAAACTTGAAAAGACAATATATAAAAATGCTGAAAAAAATCACAGAGTTTGGAATGTGCTTGTTTGCCAAGACCTGGTACTACTTTTACTGTATATGGTGAGAGAAAGAAGAGCAACTCTACTGCCATACTGGCTGCATTGGCTAGTGTTTCGCCAAACATAAAAAGGTAGGCCAGCTTACTTGTAACTGAGCTTGTATGAATGTGAGTGAAGGAGTCTGAAGATAAGAAAAAGACTGTACATGTTGCACCTGGGGAAAGAAAGTACTGTAGATACATGTCGGTCAAAAAAATGGCAGTATATGACTACACATGTATAGTACCAGTGGCATGTGTTTCTGCAGTTGCTTACTGTATGTAACTGGGACTTGTTTGAAACTGAATGGCAGTAAGTGTCCTTGTAGATTGACCATGTGCCAATGGCCTTCAAGCAATACCAAAACTAGAAAGATTATTAACCCAGACTAGAAAGCAAATATGAAGATAAGTAGAATGAAAACTAAAGAGTAACGAGTGAAATGAAGAGTGACTGAGGTGTGAGATTATAGAAAGTGAGAGAAAATCAGGATCATTATGTGGTACAGTATAAGGTGTTTTCTAATGTCTCAGTCTAATATTGAGGCAGCAACAGTAGTTTCAGTAGAAGGTAGTGCCTCTAATGAACTTTACCCTCTCAAGAGAGCATTATGTATTATGGCGTGCCCACTACTGAGGGTTGAAGATATCAAATAACTCTTCAGAGAGGGGGCCTAACAGCTTGCAAGGTCAGAGGAATGGAGTAAAGAAATATTTGTGTACTAGTCTTTTTCTTATGCAATGTAAATAAAAACTGTAAAGCGTTTGTAGTTGACCTGAATCGCTGTACAAATAAGCAGTTCTTAAATGAAACAGATGTGTGCCCTTGTTTCTCTTTCCTTGTTGGATTTTTAAATTAATCATCACCTCTTAAAAGGAGGAGTAAAAGAGATATGTTTGCAGTAATAGAGCACAACCATGCCTAATTACATAATGTACTTGACTTCTGAAAACTACGCCCTACGCAGGATTTCTAACACCTTTGTTAGTCTGTAAGCGAGATTTAGCTTCATCATTCAGTTCCTAGGCTGCTTAACAGGTTGGCTCAGCATGAAAACCATTTAATGTGTAGTGTTTTTGTAAAGTACATCAAAGGATTGGAAGATCCACTGCTAAACTACAGGGGTTATACAGGATTATGAATACGGGATTGTACATATTTAGGTAAAAGAACAGGATTTCTTTGTAACAAATTCAATTGTGATCTCTGTCACTGTACTCTTAAAGTGCCTTGTGTTTAAATTGAATTCATATGTAGGTATGTGGTATTGGCTGTAAAAACTGACATTAACGGAGGGAAACCAGCTGCACATGGTCAATGTGTGTTTTTAAAACCTCAGATAGTATTACATTGTATTTGAAATACTGCAAAAAGTCATTTATTAAATCTCTTTTTAAACTGAAGTTGACTGTGGCTGTGTGCATATACAGTATATACAAGTGTGTACTGTATTTTATAGTGAATGGCTTCACTGTTTTTTATAGTCTAGAAAGATTTAGAAAATAAAATCCATTTAACAATGTCACAACATTTAAAAACTTCACTTTTTAAAAATACATGAACACCTTTATAGCCCATCAATACACAATAATAATGTAAGATGAACACAGAATCATACAGGACACCTATCTCAATGAATGAAAAACATTTCAGATTTTATGAATCCATCAACTTTGGCAACTGGCTGGATAACAAAAACAAGCCAGCGCCTCAGAATTATCCCCACAAAAACATCAAGTAGTCAACGATGGAATAGTAAATTGTTTGACATTTAGTTTTACTCATTTCATTTTGAGTAAAGGTTTAGTTTTTGCTGTACATGTTTGGCAGTATACTACAAACCTGAGGCTGATTAAAACCCAGAAGCTTACATTTGAAAGATTTAAGCTTTTCACCAGACATGAAGAATGAATGTTTCAACTGACTCTAACTGGAAATAAAACGAGGGACTATTACCTCGTTCAAACTACCACTGAGCATGCAGCTTTAGGCCACCTGTGTCTCTGTAGCTGCTATACCCAACTGTTGCTGCTTCTTCCTCTCTTGTAGCTCCTCATCGAGGCGGTGCAGCTGAGCCAGCTTCAATTGTTCTATGAGAATTACAGAACAAGACCATATTGAAGGGGTTAGAAATGAAAAACAAACACTGCATTCATGCATGTAACAAAAAAAGTCCTGGACTGCACATTTTCTTTCAGAATAATGTGCATAAGTTCTGAGAGGGTACTTACCAGCTGATAATAGCTGACTTTTTATATTCTCAGCACACTTTATTTCATCTTGGAGTCTCTCTGGAGTCTAAGTAATATTTTTAAGGACAGAGGTCATTATAATATGCTAAACTGATGTAATTTCTAACCATAAAAATGAGCCAGGAAAAATATAGATGGACTAAGTTGAACAAAATTTTTAAACAAACTTACAAAGGCAGAGTGCAGATTCTTATGCTGTTCTATCAACTGACGAAGTTGGTTTTCAAACTTAATTCTGCAGAAGAAAGGCTGACATTAGTAAATGTATATGACATTTATTTGAATGAGGTTTTTTTTTTAATGTAATAAACTGCTGCACTATTATTAGTCACCGCTGCTTCCGGTGTTTAAGCTTGAATTCCTGGATTTCACATCTGTACTGTTCCAGCAGTTCCTCATATTTCTTGTTCTGCTTTACCTGCCTGCAAAATGTCCACAGTTTATCACCAAGTGCATAATTTATATAATTTAAAAATAAAATAATTTTCATATTATTATTATTCACAGTACAATTCACCTAGCCTTACAATACATGCAGTAGATTAGAACAGGAGTTTGAAACTTGTTAAATATGATCGCTTCACAACTTTGATATATATAGATTCTTCAAATTATGGCATTTGAGCCCATATATAGTAAGCAATGAGTGGGGTTCATCTTATGGTACATGTATGTTTAGGAACAAGTCTATCGCAAAGCCAATCTGCTGTGTATAATACTAGATCGAACATATCATCACCAGATGACCCTGTAACTACACCAAATTACACAACAGTTTGGAGCCACATACTACCTAAAAATGCTGAATGTAATGTACTCAATCACACAATACTTAAATGCAGTCTACTATGATTGCATACAGTAAAAGAATGTGCTAGCAATTTAAATATATGGATCTGGAAATTAGATAAAGTTGAACAATAAAATAAATGACAAACTAAATCTTAAAACTAAAAAAAAAGAAACAAAACAAAGAGCCCGAGTGGTATCAAACTTTTACATGATGGTGCTATTCTGCCATCAACAAATATGGCTGACGTCCAGGATGCTACAGATGTAATGCTCTCATTGGCCTTAATAGTGTAACACTAACTGGAAATTCAATTACATGTATTGTCAATTAATTTAAAAGTTTCAAAACTGCATCTAATAATTGTATTAGTATCTAAAAGGTAAATAAGGCATGGCATGAAAAATGTCATATGGAATATAAATAGTAGTAAGACTAAATAATAACTGACATGGCTGAAAATAAAACTAATTCAAAATATAGCTTAGAATACAAGCAAGGTTTAAAATACAATATATAAAATTTAAAAAATAAAATCAATCCAGGATCCTACCATGATAAGTAAGGTACTGCCACCTAGTGGTATACAGCATAAACAAAACTGAGGCCTCACAACATGGAGGTCTCACTGATCCACACTCCTTACAAATGAGGACATTATTTATCCACTTAGCCTGGCACTCACTGGGTAGAACCCTGCTCAGATGCCTCACACTGGAACTGCAGCTTCCTGCACAGCTCTGAAGTAAACATTAAGAAATTATGGTCACAGTCTATGTATTTACCAAAGTTGACCAATTAGTTTCCAGATAGAGTCCAACCAAACCCTTAGGTTTTGAATATCAACACAAAGTCGTTGGCCTATAATTATCTATACATGTACAATTGTTTGTTACCAGCATGTGTGTACCTTCTTTTTCTTTATGGATTCGCTCCAGCTGATAAGATTCTGTTTGTACTATAGAAATGAAAACAATGAAAATGTCTGGTAATAATATACAAAACACACAATACTAAAATAAAAATAGAATATGGTACATAACATGATATAAATTCTTACTTAAAGGACATCAAATACTGTTACTACTAGGTTTCTGACTACATTCCAAAAGGTACAACTAGCAGCCACAATAAGCAAACTGTATGTGGGTCAAATAAAATCATTACTGTTGATTTTGTGTCTTACAAGTTGCCAGTTCTTTCAACAAAGACTCGCTGACTGCTTTGAGCTCCTTAACTTCTGCTTCCAGGGTTCTTTTACCTTGAATAAAACACAGTGTAACTGAAGCATGACTACTGTAGTACTGTGACTAATACACTTATATTCGGATATAACGCATTTTTCCATCAAATATGACTGATCAATGAGGTGATAATTTGGCTACTTCTACTCTCACTACTACACTGTATTAGCTACACATCTTGAACAAAAATATAAAACACTACACCATCAACTTTAACTAAACATAATCCATCTTTTATTTAAAAGTATGATCAGAATGGGTCTCACAGGGTGTTGCTGTTCCCTGCAAGATGGAGATATTAATCATATCTCATGAAACTCCACTCATCATGTTCTGTAACTCCATTGAAGGAGCAACAGGTAAGGATATACCTCACTGAAGATAAACGTTACGGCGCACACGAACTGCTATAACCAGCGCGTGCAGCTCTCTTCCTCACGGTTTTACATTCTTGTGCCAGTGCTGAAGTTGTATTTGTTACATGAAGTTACATTAAGCGTGTCTTGCGTAAACTCGGATCCTATGTTAGGTTATTAAGGTTTTTGATGCTATTATTTCTATTAAATGTGTGTGATGTGCGTGTTCATTAGCATATGGTCTACACAGCCAGCCTTCTCATTGGTGCACAACGAGAAAGGCGTTTTATAAAAACTGAAACCTTCGCACTGAAGTGTTTTCACGTTGAATGATTGATATACCTCAAAGGAACACTGCATTTGGTTCGTTTTGTCAGGTTTGAACCTTTTTCAATGTAATAACAGAAAAAGTCAGCGCGACTTACCAGCGGAAGCGGATGTGCAAGTTCACAAAGGCTAACCAAACGGTTAAGATAATACCCCCACGATATTTCCTAACATACTGTAGTCGCCTTAGCAAACTGACCGAGTGAAATTCCTGTCGAATTATAGGGAATATTGGAGAATCGATAGAAATTATATTACTCAAACTGATCTGATGAATAATTAGCTAAAGAGACGTAAATAAAACATTATACGTATCCGAAAACAGTAACAACAACACCACGCATGCGCAAAAGTAGCGCCATTCAACACGAAGAAGGAAAAACGTGACAGTGAAGTTGAAGTCAAATGTAGCTTCTGCTTGTCCGAATACCAGTGGTAGAATCTTAACTAAGAACCTTTACTTAAGCGCAATTCGAGGTTTTGTACTTGTATATTTCTATTTTGCCTTACCCGACTACATTTCGGAGACAAATATTGCACTTTACTTCATTATATACAATTTGGTGGTTTAGCGAATAGTTACTGTACAGACTCATTATTAATACAAACTGTAAATCACCTACGACGTTATGATACAAGTTTATAGATTAGGCTTCCAGACAGTATATAAAGCACTAATTACTATGATCACTAATTACAATCCACGGATATATAGCCGAGCATTCTGAAATAGCCCATTCGCCACAATGACTACTGTTGATACTTCGCCTATATAGTATATACAGTATCTTGATGCTAATAGATGGTAAAATGGACTGTATTCCTACTGATACTTGTAACAGAGTAGCTATTTTAGTGTGGTATTACTGTTTTTAGTTTTGTTTGTTTTCCTGTTTTTACTTAAGAGTAAGTTCCAAATACTTCGTCCAGCAGTGACCATGTCAGTATAAGGCCAGGGGAGACATGTTTTTTCAAAACCATAATTCCAAGACTTATGATTTTCCAAATTAAACAGTAAAACCTTTGCAAAATACTATGACAAAAATCGTTCTTATGTTGTTTTAGATGGGGGAACATGTTTAAAAACAAAACAAACAAAAAAAACCAAAAACAAAAACAAGTCTAGTCCAGTAACCCATTCTTCATTAGAGGTGTGTAAACTATAAAACCGATCCTCTCCTGTTCGTCCAAAAGATGTCGCTAAAGGGTATGAACAGGTCTGTACATAACGTTAAGGTAAAACAAATGTCTACATGGCAATTTAAAATCATTGTCAAAATTACTATGATTTTATAGGCCCAGGTTCGCCAAAGACTACCTTCTTGCAGCCTTCCTAATTTGACCCTCAGCTCTTCAAGTTTGGGCTCCTGCATCTCGCCACCTGACAGCAGGGCATGAAAGCACACCAGCTTGTTACAGATTTACAAGAGTTGTGGTGCCGTTTGTACATTGTGCAAATCTAACTTATCCGACTACTTTACCTCCTGTCAGTGTTGTAACAGTCAGTTCTGCAATGTTGAATTCTGTTACACAAATAAAAAAAAAGGTAGCCTTTTAACATTAAATAAGTTTTCGGCTGACACTTAAATAGTAAAGTCCAGAACAGGCACAAAATCCACACCCGAACTCACATTAACCAACTTAAAATGTCCACCGAAAGGCAGCAAACAACTAGCTTAGCTTAGTTTTTAGCTAGCTAAATATGTTAACGTATTTTTAGTTACCAAACACCGACTTTTCACAATGGCAGTCGAATAACAATTAATTGACTGTTATATCTTATGTAACCGGTCCCTGTGTTCTAACATATAATTACACAAAGTTGTTTACTAGGTTTAATTAATGTTTATCTATACCTGACATCCAGAGCCCAAATGTTTCCTATATGTTGTGTACTGGGTTGCGACCTCCGCCTTGTTTCTTCTTCGTTTGTCCCACCGTTTGTCATATAAATACGATGTTGTGTCATACCCTCTTCCCTTTTGATATGTTCCATTGGGAAGAGGTCAGTTTATAATCAGTTGTGATCCTTTTTTTCTTGTGCCCACATCTTCATTTTTACTTCTTCTGTATAAACGATGACTGTTGATACTCATGCATGCACTGTTATTACGCTGTTATGACATTTGCCGGTGCTAATTACTTAGCTTTGTTCCGACAACGATGTATGTTAACACACTAACAGGATGTATTTTTTTATATAGATTGGTGTGAGGTCCGGCAGCACATGCTAGTTGCTGATTATTATTTCATGTTGTCAGATTAAACGGAGCGCGCCTCCAAACGCAGTCCTGGTGTTTCGTGGGTCCTTCAGCCACCACAGACGCCCCAGCCACAACACAACGCAGAAGTCCACCGGTCACACGTAGTAATATGGCACCTAAACAAATACACTGAATATTTAGCTGTTGCCTTTCTTTCCACATTAGGTTAACTGCTACAAATGTCCCACCAATTAACTAATTAAAAGCTAGCATTAGCAGTTGCATAGCCAACAAATGGTCGCATATGCTAACTTCTGCAGTTTTCTTTTTTGTGTTTTTAACGAGTTGTGTAATACAGTTCAATACAGCTCTTACAGCTCAACTTAAATTTACGATGTTTAACCTAAATTTCGCTCATTCTTAAACAACCAGCGGACTATTCTCCTAACCTATACAAATAATGAAGTAAGCCTACCGTTTCCCCCCGAGCCCAGACTAGCACGCAAAGTCTGATGCCATATCAAATGCTGCAAAATATCTTACTATTTATATATTTAGGCTACTTATGAATTTATAGCTGAAAAGCTATAGGCCTAGTTATAGATAAATGTTATAGTTGGAAAGCAAAGTTTATGGACTTGCTGCTGTCAGAAGCTGGAAGAAAATCAAGTAGATCTATTGCTTCGTCTTCATGTTTTTTTCTTATAAACAATAATAAAAAATAGTTTTTCATGGGCTATAAGACTGGATCTCTTAGACCGGCATTAATATTTAAGTGAGGGACGTTAATGATAAATTGGCGGATAGTTTTAACACAAGTGCATCAGGTAAGCAATAAAAACAAATGTATAACTACAATTTTACTTTAGTTATTTATAAGTGTGACTGAGATACTCACTCTGTAGGACATTTCACAACTGAAAAAATAAAGTGCCACCTCTGTTTAACCCTGATGTTGTGTTCTGGTCAAATTTGACCATTTAAAAAATTTTATCTCTGAAAAATGTAGGTAATTTGATCAGACTGACTTTGGATTCCATGACTTTGTCCACAAAGAGGATTTCAACACAGAAATATCAAGTATCCATTTTCATACAAATTTATTTGCTTTATTCAACTTTTGTACACTCTTGGTGTTCCTGGTTAGAAATGACCGGTCATTAGAAATAAATGGGGGAGACAACATCCATCCATCCATTTTCCAAACCGCTTAGTCCCAAACGGGGTCACGGGGGGCTGGAGCCAATCCCAGCCAGCTGCGGGCAAGAGGTGCGGCCACAGAAAGGCTCCGGGTCGGCCGGGGCTCAAATCCGGAATCTTCTCGCTGTGAGGCAACAGCGCTAACCACCGCGTCACCGTGCTGCCCGGGGAAACCACAATTAGTGTGAAAAACTCATTTGTCAGATGGACTCACACACAGGCACACCTTGGTTCCCTGGCAACCACTATGGGAACCTTTGCCCAGTAGAGTCTCTCTCCCACGTGAACAACACCTGTGTTGGCAGTTCTCACAGACAGTTGCAATGTTGTTTCAATAACACTGAACTTTTCTCATAGCTTTAGTATATAAGGCTTCTTTGAGGCCTTGCTCACAGTTCATTGTGTGGCAGCACCATGGGAGGTCGATATACTGTAAGTGAGGCTCTTGATTTCATAGTTGATCACCACACCTGTGACGAGGAAAGAGGCCAGGAAACTTAGAGTGAGGATGGATTAGAGGAGGAAGTGTCAGAAGATGAAGACGACATGGAATATAATCCAGACCAAGAAATAACTGATGAGGAGGAATCCAATGATGAAAAGGATGGCCATGCGGAGGCTGCTGCCACATTCAAGTCAAAGAATGGGAACCTATCCTGGTCTTCATCCCCACCTGAGGATCCAAGTAGGCTTTCAGCTGAAAATGTCATCAGGATGACCCCAGGACCTACAAAATATGCTATATCCCAGACTGATGACATCAAATCCTGCTTTGAACTGTTCCTGACTGAGTCCATCAAAACCATAGTGGTAAACATGACCAACTTGGAGGGGAAATGGATTTACAAAGACAACTGGAAGGAGGTAACCCAGACAGGCATCGAAGCATACATGGGTCTTTTGATTATGAGTGGTGTGTAGACATCCAAAAATGAATCTACCAGTAGTTTATGGGAAGCAGAGTCTGGTCAGACAATTTTTCGGGCCACCATGTAACTCCAGAAATTTCATGTTGTCACGGGTGATTCACTTTGACAACTGTGATACAAGACTAGGCTGTCATCAACAAGACAAACTGGCAGCAATCAGAGAGGTTTGGGACGAACGGGTGGAGTGCCTGCTACTCATCTATAACCCAAGTCCAAACAGCACAATGGAAGGACGTCTGGTCACTTTTAGGAGACGCTGCCCTTTCAAACAGCATAAAACACATCTGATAGACTGATGAACATTGTAATGTTATTGTTCTTGTTAGCTGTTCTTTAATGTATTAAGATATTGATCTTGAAATATTGTGAAATTGTCAAGTGTAGTTCTGGGATAATTTCCTTTGTACACAAATAAAATACACCCGGTCACTTTTGACCAGGAACACAACAACTGTTACTTTATGTGACTGCATACAAATTTTAAATAGTTTCAAAACAAATGTCCTTGTTATAAACAGTACACTATGTTTCATCTGATTATTTCTTATAGTCAAAATAATCCAGAAATTATGTTTTTTGGAACTTGAATTCAAGATGTATAAGCTCAGATCAATGAGGCATAAAGGCCATAAATAACAAATAGAAGTTCAAAACTTGTAAATGTCACAAGAACTTAAGTTGATAAAAAAAAAGCTAACACAACAAACAGTGATAATATATATATATATTATTACACTTTTTATGATGAGTCTTAATGGAACGGCCATTTTTGACCAGGCACACCAAGTTGTTTTAACATGAAATGAACACAACATGAGGATTGAAGTTGACAGCCTATGGTTAGAATTTCTAAAGTAACTGATCAATCTGTTTATTCCTACTTAATCTCTTGTCTTATACATTGTTCTAAAAGCTAAAATAGGCAATTTTCTGGCAATTAAAATTCAATTCAACACATCTAGAAAACTCCTCCCAGGGACTCGGGATGTTACACTTCTGCTGTTTCCTGTCAAACTGTTGAAACGTAGGTTAAAGGAACACACAGTCAAACACCTTTACATTGTGTCAGTTTTAATGAAAAGTGAACAGCAGTATAGAGGAATGCAGTTTCATTTTTTGATTTAATGCAAATATAAAATGCAAACAAACCTACAATGCCTCAAACCTACTTTATTTATACACATCCAACCACTAGAGTTCTATATATACTTACACCTTGGTTAGATACAGACACAAGTTACTGTGTAAAAAAAAAAAAAAAAAAAAATTCAAAACAAGGAAAACACACAGGGCTGTCAAACAACACCATCTCTTTCCAAAAGAGGAATACCTGTACCTGTGCAGTGTACATTATTAGCACATGCAAATGTTCATGCTAAAAATAAATAAATAAATCAAAACAGAAGTTGCAGAATAAAAATGTTATCATTCAAGTTGTGTTTGTTTAGATGTATGTATATTTTGGCTTTCAGTGCATAATGATTGATTCCTTTGTTGAGCAAGTTATGATTTCAGTGAACCTAAAGTCTTTGTAACTTTCAGTCTGTTTGTTTTCATCAACACTGTCCCATAGCAACTCTTGCTATCTATGCCAAAAATCAATAAATGGATCAGTTCCTCAAACCAATTCATTCATGTCCAGCATCCATCTACTTCATAATAGTTATGAAACTTGGATCAGCTCTGTATTGAAGTGTTCAGAAATCTGAGAACTACAATATTTCACATTAACGAGAAAGAAAATAAATACAACACTAAATTGTCACTTCACGATAATGACCAGAATAACAGGAGGTGGTGAGAATAGAAAAATAAATGGAAGAAGGTAAGAAAAGATTCAGTGTCAGACTCATACAAATAATTGATGATATTCTGTAAGAATATGTATAGTTTATAAATACTAATTTATGGTCATGTTTGTTGTATACATCCAGTGCTGATCTTCATTTATAGACCATTAAAAGATTTTAATTACTGCACTGGATAAGCAAAGTTCTGCTATCAGAGTACATTGCTCCACAAGTAACACATCCATATGAATCACTCTAGCATGGCTTTAAAAGGCGGGAGGGATATCAGCATCATATACAGTAATACACTTCACTAATTACAACTGTGACAAGCAAGACAGAGTATTCCCCTTGTGTTCTAAACAATCATAATACATTGTTAGTTAGGTTTCCAATGTTGCCATGCAGAGTTATTTTACACCAGCAGTTTGAAAAAGGACAGATTAAAGGAGGGTATTTCTAGCACAAATGTCTTTTTTTATCAGACAAAGCTGGTTTGCATCAATACTAAACAGTACAGATACCTCCTTCACTTTTTTCTGTTCAATCTCTGCAGCAAGGCCAGGGTGAGTATACCAGGCACCCACAGGATAACATGATTTATTCTGTATGTGCTGAGCCAAACTGGAAGTTGAGAGTGTATATAATGTAGACATCTGTGTTAGTAGAAGCAGAGGACAGTTAGAGCAAGCAGAGCTGTAAAAATTCAGGGCAAGACAAAATTAATATTAATGTCAAAATTCCTACTCAGCTGCATTTTATGACAGGCTGCCTCTCTTCCAAAGCCCTACTACCTATTTAAAAAACTGTGTGTGTGTTTGGAGATGGAAGGAGGAGTATCATGGGGGAAAAGGTGAAGAAAGTGTCGAGGAAGTCAGAGAAAAGGGCATGTTAGCAACATTTCATGATAAAGGGAGGCATTCTCTATCTCCCTGTTCTCTCCAAGGTGCAGCCTCATTCACGGGAACGTCCCACAATAGCCAGGATGTAGAGGAAGATGTTGATGATGTCGGTGTAGAGGTTCAGGGCAGCAAAAATGTACTCCTCTGGACTCAGGGACAGCTTCTTGTTGCCCAGGAGGAGCTGAGTGTCAACCGCCAAAAACTGCATAGAAGGAACAAGAATGGTATTATGCTTTGGAAAAAAACGCTTGAGATATGAAATTATTATTTCAAATGATATTTCAACATCCATCAAATATGAACATATACATATATCAAATATATGTATATACTGTCTAAGGCCACTTCTTTTTTAAAGAATGGTACATGAGTATGATACTTACGCAGGTGAAGAGCAGGGCCCCCAGTGAGGCATAGACGATGTGTAGGATCTTGTGGCGGATGAAGATACAGAGGATGGAGAAGAGCAACAGCACAATCAAGCACACAAAGAGCACGCCCCGACAGGAAGTGAAGTCATACTTGCTCTGTTGTAAAGTGGGAAAAAGAAGAAAAAGACTCAGAAAGCAAAGTGTTAGAAAATATGAGCTGTGATAAGACATGAGACACACCACTCTATAGCGCTTATGAAAATGTAATTCAAATGCAGTCTTGATAATTTATGAACCTCAAAGACAGTGTTGTGAACATTCCTTATTTTAAATTAATTTAACAATTATAAGATAAAGACATCCCAGTTTAAGAGTGCATCTTCAGTGGGAAGTATGTGAGATGGACTGGGTTGAGCACATCATTGTAAAACCAATCCTCACTTTTGCCTCCCTAACAACTCAACAACACAGAACCAGACGGACTATATTTGTCTGTTTGCATGTAGAGCATTTGAATATGTTTATTCAAGCGGCTCGTGGTGAGTGCTGACCTGCAGTGAGAACAGGACGACAGTGAAGCAGACCACTGCAGTGATACCCACAGCTATGACAGTCTCTGTGTTATAGAAACTGGCAATCATGCCCACCATGTAGGAGAGGCACAGGGTCAGGATGGACTGCAGAGAAAACACAGTCGCATTAACATCACTCATAACACACTTCACATGCTTTAAATTCAGATGACAATTTCAAAACACCCTTTTCAGGAGCAATGTAACCTCGATCAGAATTGGTTCGTATGACATGTTGTGATAAGAGTAATTACTCCTTGTGGAGTTGTAGTTCTTCTGATGCTAAAACAAAATTTTTGATTAACTTTAAACTCATGAAGGTTTCAACTGCTGTAATTGTTGGCGATCTGAAATCAAGAGAAACATGACAAATGCTGAACAGATGAGTAAGTGAAGTTAACAGAACAGAGACTAGCCTGAATGTGATGCCATGACTGTGGCGCTCTGTGGTTTACATTCATGCCAAGTATCTCGCACCAAGCTAGGTAACTTGAATGCTCAAAACAACACTAGGGTAAAAATACCTTCACCCTCACTTAAAGGCTCATACATTAGCTACTTTGTGTTCTTTAATTTGACACTATTAATTAATGCAGCACCTGTTGGATGTCAGAATCAGCTTTACTGGCCAGTGTGCTGGACACATAAGGAATTTGACTCTGGTACAGTGGCTCTCAATGTGCATGTGCAATGCTCTTCCGTAAGGCGACAAGTAAACTAGATAAGACTGTGCACAAAAAAAGAAAACTTATACTTATAAATACAGAAATATACATGCAGTTTTTCATATAGATATATACAGATATATTTAAAAGGTATTGCACTGAGGGTTGGCCTTCTGTTATACAGTCACATGTGCATTTAGCCTATTTGACTCTCAGGAGCATCTGCAGCTTTGAATATGTTTTGTCTGACAATTCAAACCACTGTGTAGTGCTATGGTACACACCGTGTGTGTGTCCACAAAGCTTGAACCTGTCATTTATTTTACAGACTTTCACAATGGGTATTCCACACATTATTATTCGGTGTTAGGGCAGGTTCTTACCAGTGCAACCAAATTCCAGGGGTGCTTGCGGCGAAACTCTCCACAGCAGCTGAGGACAATTAGGACTACGAAGAAGACTGCATAGGACACATAGTATGTCCATGGATAAAGTCGCACAAATTTCTTAGCATCATCGACAAAGGTGAAGATGGCAACAAAGGAGAAAGTGACCACCAGCTGCACGGTGAGAACCATGAAGACCTGGGAGTAAAGAAGAGAACAGTTTTTAAGAAGAAATATATGCTTTGGTGGCATTTCATATAAATGTCAGATATATTACATGATATATATTACATTATATTTGCTTACTTATTAGACTCAAACTCAAACTGATTGACATGGAAAAAGACCTACTTTTCGGATGAAAGCTTGTCGGATGTTCTTGTCTTCAAAGCTAGAGGTGGTGAACTCCTCATTGTCATAGTAAGATGGAGGCCCATCAGCATGATAACCAGGGCTGCTGGCAGGTGCTGATGAACAACAACAACATCAGGCTGACATTAACAGTTAAAACTGGCAAACACTAGGCTAAACAAACATGCATGTCTGTGGTGTTTTCAGCACAGCGACTGTATCATCTCATTGATTAAGTCTGCGCATAATAGTTCTGTCACAAAGTAACTGAAAACAAAGCATATGCAGAGTCAAATGACATGAGGTAGAATCCCACTATTTACATGTTACACACTGCTTGTGTTACACATTCAGGTATCAAATAATAAAAACAAGGTGACCTGGGGAAAAAAAGGCCAAGTCTATTCATAAATGCCTCCAATCCTCAGTTTAACTACTCACGAATGGAGTCTCCAGGAAAGCTGGGCTGTGTGGGTCCTTGCTGGTAAGGCCCCTGAGGAAAGGGTCCCTGTGGGTAGGGCATCTGGGGGTAAGGCATCTGAGGGAAGGGACCAGGGGCAAAACCCGGGCCTGCCTGGGTGAAGCCAGGCTGCCCATAGCCAGCTGCTGGTGGGTACGCTCCCCCTGGGGCCTGGCTGTAGTTGGGAGGGGGCGCGGCGAAACCTGGCTGAGGGGGTCCATAGATATTGTTATGAAGTGGGTTGGTCTCACCCATACCAGGGTATACACTCTTGTCTTGGGACATGGTGTGGGTGAAGACTCACTCTCCTGCAAGAACAATCTATGAAGAGAGAAACAGAATTATAAAGACTTTGATTAAAACCAAAACAAAACAAAAAAAGCCTTCTGTTTCCACCACAAATACACATTCAACAGGTAAGGAAACATGTCCCCTTATATTCATACAATTTCAACATCTTTTTGCATGTCAGAATTCCCAAAACAAAGCAGAGAAGAAGTAATAACAGTACAACATCAAGGCCAGATTGGCAGAGACACAAACACTGCATTTACCTGATTAATAAAGTGACAGGCAATCAAACAACGCAGCAGGAAGAGGACAGACAAATCACTTTGTCTCTCTGCTACTCACAGCAAATTCCAGTTGCTGTAACATTTTACCTCTCCTTTTTAAATAGCACAGGCCTATGCACCACTGTACAGTCAGACTGGTGCCCACTTTAGTCAGCAATTAGGGGAATGGCTTTTGGCTCAGAAGTTTTCCTCTGCTTACTGGAGGCCTTTATGTGAAACCTGCACAGTACATTTGAAAACACCAATCAGCTTTTAAATCTGACCTCACTTCCAGAGAGATTTGTGCTCTGGTGTGCAGGTCTGGGTCATGCATGTAGCTGCCTCATTGGCATTATAGATTGCAATGTACGGTAAACAGAAACATGTTGATCACAGATGTACAGGGACCGGGTCGGTGGAGGGGCACTGTAGTAATGGTCAGTATGTCAGGTCTCTTCCTGAACCAAAGTAGATTAATAATACATTTGGTTACCATGGCACCACCTGCACCCATGGCAACACTGTCAGCATCAGTGGGAACAGTGTTTGGCATCTCCTCATTTCTTCTGCTCCATCCATCTCAGTTTTAAATTCTCTACTGGCTAAGTCCATAAAGCCAGGTTTGTGTATGGATGTAACCTTGGTTTATTTTAAGGTTTCCGCTGGCATCCTGTTAATGAACAAGAATCCACAGTTCTTACTTCTGTAGGCATCCTACAGACTTAGGATAATTTTCAAAATCTCTACTTCCATGAAACTTTGGAGGAGTCCGTTAAAACCACAGTTCAAGGCTTGATTCATTTCTGCTACCAAATTCCCCTACTCGCTTCACCACCCCCACCTGGCTGGGTAAAACTGACATTAACTTAAACAGTCAATCATTCATAAATTGTTTAGAAACTTGGTTGATAATTGAGCTGCTTAACTCACTTTTTAAAGAAAAAGGCCAAACATTATCTAGTTCCTTAAGTGAGAAAGAAAACTAAAAGATTTGGGTTTAACCAGCAGATTCTTTGATGATTAGATTTTAAAATAAAAATGTTTTCTGAAAACTTGTTTGTGCACTCAGCTCTTTCTATGAACTGTAGTTACCACCACTGACACATTAGCTCACTTCATAAATCTACAGGGTTCTAGACTGGACTTCTCTTAGCAGCTGTTGCCAGAGCTGTGTGTCTTCAGACGTGTCGTCGGTCATAACGGTCAAATGCCCCTCCCCTAGCTTCTTTTCTCAGAGCAGTGATGCAAATCCCTTATCTGGAGATTAGAGCGACTCTCTGACCTGTGGCCTTGTATGCTATAATAGATTGTTTGCTACTTTGCAGTGAAATACCACTGAATTAAACATTAACTACCTTTCTTCTTTTCTTTGGCAGCAGAAAAGGTGTATGCTGTTTTTAATTTCATGTCATATTAAATACTCCATGGTTCTGAGAATGTTTCTTGTTATTAAGTGGTATAGGCCCCTGAATTCTAATCAAAAATAGGCAGGAGTGAAAGAGTTTGGATTAATAGTTACTATTTGGAATCATTGTACTAGGTACTTCTCTTTCCTCAGACTGCTGCTCATAATTCCCCTCTTTAGCAAACACATACAAATTGATTTCTTGAGATTAAACAAACAAAATTAACATGAAATTTGATTCAAATCAAAACATCATTTTTGCAATTACTCGTTTTCTCAACTTACTGTACAATTTTATTATTATTTTACAATAATAAGCCAGATTACCATTACTCAGCCTGTATTTATATAAGGCATGTCTGGCTGTAAGACACTTCAACAAAAGGACACAAGGATCAAACCAACAATCATTAGGATCTCATGAAAGCTATTCTGATTTAATTTCTCTCTCTTAACATATTTTAGAAGAATAAAAATCTTAAACTACCACTAACATAGAAACACACTTTGTCCTCATGCTATTTTCACAGACACATCACCACTTAAAATACACAGAAGTACAAAAATATCTCTTCAGGGACAGATCAGATCACATAAAAAAAGTCACATTTACTGTTTCTATCACTCTGCATTCTTCTCCTCCCCTAATTCCAAGTCGTACTGAATTAGCACCGAGCATTATGGATCACTGCTCATTTCGCCCAGACTCTATCATGCGTCTTCACGATGTCTGCCTTTCCATCAGTAGGACAGTGCAATAAGTGACGGCAAACACGGTGAGTGCTGGCTCTACTTCATACTGACAGTCTCCATTAAGATCATAACAGATTACATTCATTATCTGAGGAGCCAAATCCCTTGCAGCTTTCTGGACAACAATGGTTGTGTAAGGGGGCATACACTGCGCTCAGTACCGCAGTGGAAGTATTTGAAAAACCCATCTGTCAGTGAATTGAGTACGAGCTGGCAATAACACAATTGAGTTTAACTAAAAACAATCACTTAATTGTTTTTAGCCATATTGAATAAATCATTAAAACGTTCACAGTGTAGGCTGGAAACAGTATGTGGACCTATGTGGCTAAAAGGAATCAGGCGTTATTAAACCTGAGTCTAATCAGTGAAGAATGAGTCAAGGTGTGTGGTACAGATTCTATGACTTATGAAAACAAATATTTTCAATTTGCTATTCACAAGAAGTGTTTACTGATATGAATCATGCCTCACAAAAAGAGGTCTCAGTAGACTTAACAATCAAGAACTGTTCACTGACATAAAGATGGAGAGGGTTACAAAGTAATCTCAGAGAGTTTAGATATTAATCCGGCTACAGTGGAAATGATTTAGCTCTGTGGCTACTCTCCCTGGAAGTGAATGCCCAGCTAACTCCGACAGATAACTCCAAATCACAAAACCAAATGCTCAGTATATTAGGAAGCCCAGACTAACAGTTAAAGGCTTAAAGGACTCTGTGGAGCTTCTCTGTTTATGAGTCTACCATACACAAATCATGGAGCATAGTGTCCATAACACCACAGAGGATGTTTTCCACCAGCACCCACAGTAAAACCTAACAGTATATCTTAATAAAAGAAGTTAGTATAACTTAATCTTCCAAAGAAATAGGGGTCATTCCCCTGATATTAATCTAACTCAGAAATGACTGGTTGTAGTAATAACTCATTTGTTTTGAGTGCATTTAAAGTTTTGGACCATCGTAAGTACTAGTGATATAATTCCTGTTAGTTCCGTTGACTTATTTTCTCAGAGTTCACTTGATGCCATTATAAAAAATAAATAAATAAAAATCACAAATCCTGCTGTCCATGCACTTATGGTGCTAAATATGGCATGGAAGTTTTATATTTTTGTTAAGAATAAATTATATTGTGCACAAGTAAATAAAGATACATGATGAATAGATTAGTCTATCACCAGAAAATCAATAGGCAACTATTTAGAATACAGATGAATTGTTAATTTCATTCAAAATGAGTCATTTTTTGTTTCTCAAAAGTGACACTTTGTTGCTTACATTTGCCTTGTTTTTGTTACTAGGCCAATAGTGATTTAAATAATCCCGCCTTCGGGCTGTAGAACAAACAGGACTTGGACTATATCACCACATGATGGATATTTTCACTCTTTTCAAGAATAAGCTGGCAGAAGTTACAGCCCTAAACATATCTGCTCATTGTGTTAGTCTGAGTTTCAGCCTTCTGCCAGGTACACCTGATGTGCGCACTCTGTTCTGACCCAGATGAAACTGGGCCGCTAGCGGGGACTCACATTTCCAAAAACGTCGGAGCAAATTCCTAAATTGGCATTACTTAGCTAGACTGACCACCTATTCTCACTCTAAGTGGTTACTTTCTCGCCTGAAAAAGGTCAACGCTTAATAAAGTGGCCTAATACCAGTCACAGGACGAAAATTATAACAGCTTTGAGCCTGGCTCAGAATTTCAACCATTTCATTGAGCATTATCCTCATCTCATTAAGTGCTTTGGTCCTCTGGTACATCTCTGGACAATGAGATTTGAAGGGAAGCACAAAGTTTTCAAGAAAATTGTTCATGACAATCATAACTACAAAAATGTGTTGAAAACTTTGGCAGAGAGACGTCCAAACATGATGGCATTCTACTTGTCATCACCAAGATTTTTCAGGCCACCAGTGCAGACTTCAAAAGTGGAGTCTATCTTTGTTGATTCATTGCCTACCGATACACGTGTTATTATCAACCATCACAAACAGCTGCATATGGAACAAAACAGGCAACCACTGACGGCACAACTTTTGTGGTTGGCATGTTTGTTTATGCTGGGGCACATGCTGCCTTGCCTGAGTTTAAGGAGATCAGAAAAATATTATTTATTGAAAATGACATCTTTTTTCTTCTGAAACACTGAGACTTGGTATACTGAGCATTTGTGGTCATATGAGCTAAGAGATCATAAAAGTAAGGGCCATATGCTGAAATCTTTGAGCCAGCTAAGTCACCAAATGCCACACATTGCTTACAGAGTGTCAAGTAAACTTATTCTCACAACTAAACATTTCATTCCAGTGTCTGAATAAAAAAAAACAAAAAACTATGACATACAGAGCAGCCACCCTCAGGCATTTGTCCTGGTGACCTGAAGGAGACTACAGATCTGTCTGGGCCAGTCCATGAAAACTAGACCTTCTTTGAAAAACTGGACAGCATTTGAAGGTAATGTCTGTTTTACTCTATGGCCCAGATGTTACCTGATGTCATCTATGGCTGTATGCAGTGTGTTGGGTAGTTGTCTGTGCAAGTAAATTGTATATTGGAGTACAGATTGGAGTGCTATAGAGACAAGAAAGATACTTGGTGCTT